CATGATTTCTACATCACCTGATCAAGGTAGTTCCCTCGTTCGGGCCGTTTCTAGTGTATCCAAACTCTAAAATGTCAATAAAGTATTTACAGTCCATTCTAGAGAGGTGTTCACCATTATTTAAACTGTGAAATATACAGCATGTGAAGAAGTAAGTAAATGATGAAGGAAAATTCCACAAAGTTGGGCAGTCAGGGGAAAATATGAAGGTGTTTCGCAGTGACTGCCTCAGGCATACGGTGCAGGCCGAAGTGGAAATATACATTATGACAAATGGACACGAGATAGCATTTCTTTTTCTGGACTTAGTCGACAGAATTGTCCCTCGACTTCTCTTTGGTTCAAAAACCTCGCCATTGAAGTCAAAAGGGGGGGGGTTGAGTTAATAGCATTCATTTATGATGACTGGAGTGCCCTCTTTAGGGCCTATAGGAACTGTATTGAAAAAAGAAAGAAAAAAACACCACATTCTGTGAATAGAAAAGGCGCATTTAGGCTTAGGCTTAAAATTGATGTCATTTCGAATCATCCTAAATTACACTGCCAAACTGCTCATTTGCATCTAGACGAGCTGTTTCCCTGTAATTTCTTTTCGGGATTGGACCACTGAGAGATAAGACACAAGAAGTGCACTCAGTCCCTAGATGGACCAAGAGAGGGTGCATTTTGCCTGGCAACGTAAGCTCCTTAAGTGGGAATTGCATTTCGCTGGTTCACAAACAACTATGAAATGCGCGGTCGTGTCGCTACACTGCATAGACTGTGGTGTTAAAATCAACCCTTTTTTGGGTCATTAGATGACCACACCTTTGGGTGCCAGTTTAACACTGCTGGTGTTATTTTGCAAACCCATAGGTTTCACAGTGCACTGGAGGGTGTTAAAAGTAACACCAAATAACACCGACATTTTTAACACCAGTGAAAGTGTTTGTGTAGTCCTCTGATAACACCGGAGGGTTAAATTTAACACCCCAGTTTTGGGTTGAACACTTCCCACCAATATGGCTCTTTTTCAACCGACGAAGGGGTACTTCTGCTCAAGGTGGACTCAGAAAGCAGAATTAGATTTAGATCTAGAATTACCGCGGCGGCATTGCGCTCGTGAAGTTGGCAAGTGGAACGCGAGTGTTACCTGCCTCTTCGAATGATAACGTGTCGTGATTTGCCGAGTGCAAGCGCGCGTACGCGAGTGGGGTGACACAGCGGATAGGATGTCTTCATGAATGATTTGCCTATACAATACCGGCTCGCATAGAACGCACTTCCTCGCTATAACAAAGATCATTTTTATAAGCCCGATCGTACCTCTAAGACATATTCAGCGAGAGAGATTTTTGAAGGACTCATCCTAAAGAAATCCCAGGTTTTGGTGCGACGGATCTAAATATATACCGCAGTGGAAGCCTTATCGTTGGCATTCAGTGGCAATAAATCGATTTCCCCAAAGCCGACTCATCCATTCCAAGGGATTTGTAACCCTCAGGTATGAAATTTCATCTTCTGCAATATGCCATCTTTATCAATTACTACTGATATCGGACCACCTGCTGAAGGCGCCAGTTTCTTTGTGACTTCGAGTCTGTACAAACCTCGAGCTCGCTGGAAATTTATCTAACAAACAATTACGGCTCCTGGGCTTAGCCATATCGTGCTAAAGTCTCTTTATAGTGTATATTTTAGATGAAGCTATAAAGGTTTCCTATTTTCCGTCGAAAATTTGTAGTGGTTAATTGAAGTATCAATATTTAATTTTTACCTGTCGTGTATCGACGGGTACAGTTCTCATGTTTCCCCGTGACCGTTCCCAGGGTAAACTAAATGTAAAAGGACTCAATGTCAATATGGAGTAAAATGAATGTAAATTTGGTAGCAAATTAACAAGCCAGAATGGGGATTTCGATGTCGCCACGTTCAAATACTGTCCATCCCCAAACCTTTTGAACTGGAAGATTTTTTACCCCAAGCAACCCCTCATGAAAATCTTCTGGCAACTATTTAATAATTAATGCACGGAGAGAGATTGATTTTCCCGCAATAACTGAGTGGCTGCCCTTCTATTCCTTTCAGGATACGCAACACAAAAGTGGAGTCAAGGTCAAGTTCTAATAGGCTCAGACCTTGCGGCATCCTAATTGGAGATTATATAGAAACAATTATGCTAACTGTATATTCATAGCTCACCAACAACGGTTGAATTAATTACTGTTATTTGAAAATAAAATAGATATCATCACAGAGACAAACAACACCGCTGTTTACGTTTGTTATGCCATGTGTGAAAAGGCGCAGCGACACATATAACACCAGCTGTTTCTTCAACAGTTCACAGCCACACTATTCCACGAAAATAGTCTAATCTTGCTGCTCGCCCTTTCCATTCGTCAACTCCTGTACTTTTCAACTATCCAGTGTAATTCACGTATCTTTCGTAAGGGGCACCACTGATTCACAAGTGCACGCACGGTTTACTTAAGTCCAATTACCAAGAGCCATCTAGCGGCGTACGGTATAAGCCTCATGCAGCGAAGGCTAATTCGGTGATGTACGGCAACAGACCGGATGCCATGGCAACGGATAGTCGGGGGAAAATCATTTTGAACTGAGTGTCTTAATACTGTCGCCTGCGTGAGCCTGGAAAATAGACGGGAAAACAGACAACAGCAGGAGAATAGCATGATGGGTCATAATGTGTACGATTGTCCATGTATAAATCATTTTGTGGAAAGACCAACCCATATCATGCTGCAATATTGGCGTAGGCCTATCGTTGAAATGCACTCAAAACGCAATATCAAGCAAATTATTCGAGTCATACCGTATTCATGTAAGTTTCATGAACGATGGTGCTTTTGTGGTGCTCTCTGGGACAAGCATACCACATTCATAACATGTAAAACCATTCTTGCCATGAAATATTTTTTTTTCTAATCTGCACCTTCAGGGGTAATAAATTGATTTGTGGTCAGTTCCACTGCCAACGGGAGTCGCGGTAAAGAAAGTAGTCTCTTTTCCAGTTAGCTGCGCTGATGATACGCAGGCAAACCCACGCTCGTCTGGTACAAGAATGGTCTCGCGCATCTGACTGATTTTCTGAAATAAATGAATCCCAGCGCAAAGGTCTTGAAAAGAAGTTAGTGTATCCCACGTGGGAGGCTCCAAGCCAATAAAAACCGGCTTAGCCATAGTAGCACATTACGTCACAGGCGGTTGGAGATAAAATGAAATTTTCAGAAGACAATGAATTTCTTTTCAATGGAAGAGAAGTATTCGTCAATTTAATAAATTGATCTTGCTTCCACGGGGGAAAAGCCTGGTCGCCGAATCTATATTGACTGCGCTGCTTTTGTTACATAGCTCACTGCCAGAAAGTCCACCAATTTTTGCTCTGTGTAATTTGTTATTTTGTTATCTCACTGAGTGAACTCGGAACGGGAAAATCAAGAGATGGCTAAGGGCGATAATGGTTTCTGGGCCATCGGGATCAGATAAACCCTGCCAAACAGACAGGTGGCACTCAAGTCCCGGAAACAAAATGCGATCTCTACGGCCTGCAAGGGCTTGTACAGCACGGAGATATTCCATCAAAGGAAGCAGTTCCAATCGAGGTCAAAGTTCCAGAACAAGAGACATGAGAGGTGCTTGCTCTGTGGAGGCGGTGTTTAAAATATTTGACACAAATTTGGTTGGTATGAACAATGGTAATGATTGCATGAGATTCATAGTTCAGACTCCGACATAAATCCTCATGGAAACAGCTAAAAATCGGTCGCACTCGGTTCAGACAATTTGCAGGCTTCCAAACGATTTTCGACTTTACTGTCTACATTGTCTGGTTCGGAATGATATATGTGCGCAAATTTCGGTCAGTTTTAATGTCAAGATTGACCTTTTCATAATGTACAACTATCAGCGAGTACATTTACATTTTAGCTATCTTAATGTCGATTGAGTTTTGTGCTGTCGTTGGTCAATCGACTGCACTATAGTCAGAGTGCTTTGAGGTTATACTGTGTAGGAGGACAGGGTGTTTAATTTCCTTTTGAAGAGAACTATGACGAACAGAACTGAATCTTTGCAAGTACATAATATACCAAAGTACACATTACAGTTGAAAACTCAACGACATCGTCCATGCGTATCTTTTATTTCCAGAGTGGTTGGCGAGAGTTTCGATATATCAAGCGATATCATATAACAGTATACCGCGTATGGTTGCTAGCAGGTGAATAGAAGATGTCAGCTCGGATATTTCATGCATAGCGTGCGAGAGGTCTCGTGAAGTAATGCAGAAGGTTCTTCGGTTTGGCATTGTACGTTGGTAACCTTAGCAGCGTTGTACTTTTGCCTGTGGTGATAGAGTCCAAATTTTCTTTAATAATTAGACACAGTCCCGGGTATATCACGCAACCACTTGCATTAACCATTCTTACACTTAAAATGGAGGTAATGACTACGGCTGTCCAAATATTGATGATTTACACATTGTCGTGCATTTCCGTAGATCAATCGCACGTTGGTGTCGTCATGTTCTGAGAAAAGAAAAGTACACACGGACATCACAGTAACGCCGACGGCTAATGAAATACGCTACTGAGACCGATGGAAGCTGCACGTTATACGTCCAGCAAGACAAGCTGTCACCTGTTACTCTCAACAATTGTTAGTTTGGTCACATTGCACCGATTAGGACTAGTCAACACACGGGGTCTAGTCTGGCTTACAGTCAGTAAAACCGTCCGCTCACAATGACACAACATTACCGTGACAGTGGCGTTCATTTTGCAGCGGTTACTTGGGCGGGGGCTCATTTCCTGCATTGGTCATATTAGGCTCTGAAGTCTGAACTATCTCGTTCCCATCAAGTCGAAGGTACAACATGGGCAGACTATCACTAGATTTTTCCTTCTATAATTGGGGGGGGGCACACAGGGGATTACGTCACTCTGTCGGGAGGCTTTCGGAAAGGGGTAATATTTTATAATTCAAAATAAGATTCCTACCTTGGTTCCTAATTTGATGGTTACGTTGGCATCAGATCTCTGTAGAGAACTCATCATATACTCTTGGAATATTCCAATCCTCGTGTAGAAACGCTCTTTATGCCAGCAGCCCTCCATGTTATCGAAATCCACCCGGTACTTCCGCAGGAAGGCCACAGAGCGGGGGTCTAGGGCGATCTGTTGGGGACGCGAGATGAGCTGTGCTCGGTTCAACTCCTCGTAGACCACGATCCGGCCCACCCTCTTGCTGTTAGCGGCGATAAGGGCCGCGGAGAGGCCGATCGGACCCGAGCCGATCACCACCACGTTCAGTCGCACACGCCACTGGCGGAAGCAATCAAAGGAATTCTTGCAAACCACGAAACAGATGACCACCAGGGCTGTGATGACAGCAGCGTTGGCCGCTTCGGCCAACCCGCCCGAGTCTCCCTGCCCTGTCATGCTGGCACTGGTGGCGTCGGTCGGGGACAGGAAATAATGCGACAGATCAGCTGTAGCGGTGATGTCACTGTCGTTGTGTTGGAACATGGTAAGAAGCGAAAGTCAGAAATCATTCACCTCAAATCGACAACAGCAGGCTGCACCGCGGAGTTATCTATGCAACCTTGTCGCGCCCCTCATGCCTAGGTAAACGTCTGCGTACCCGCCTCTACCGCGTCGCTACTCGACCTCCATGACAAATGATGAACAGTTTACACCTTTCCTCCCGTGTAGACCTCAGCTGGACACGTGAGCATCAGGTCGTGTCATGACATAAGCTGCACTAGGATTGGTTCGTAATTAGGCCCCAGGTGGAATAAGCCGCATCATCTCTGCTTGGCCTTCAGCATCTTCTACTCTCCTGACGTCCGTGCAGGCGCACGATGCTTTGCACTGTGCCACAGTCCAGACGCTCGTCGGCCACAGCTGACAAGAAATGTGCGAACGCAGAGAGATCGGCGACACTCCGTCTGCTCCCCTGCGCTACTGAAACATATGTGGTCGCTGTGCACATTAAGTACACGACAACGTGCACACACGTACACAGGCATCACGGTCCTGACTGCAGCTATGGGTGAACACATGTTGTCAGTGCTTCCTCCAACATCCTGGAACGCACGTGATGCAGGTGACGTCATTTTGAAGTCCCTACATCACTCCATTCAGTAGTCGGTACTTCGACTGGCATATCATACTTTCGAGATACTGATCCCCGAACGTGAAGAGGAAAACGAACATCTTACATTTTCAGGTCTGTGAATATACTGCCTGTCAGAAAAACAACAGAAAATCAACACCAGCACACCGTACGGTCCTGCTATTTCTTTTACTTTTATTTATTTTAAATGTGTAAGTTTCAGGCAACTGCAGGGATTCTGAACTTTCTCAGAGAAAATGAAAGGAAAACATGCAAACCAACTTGAATTATTTTTGAACCAGCAAAATTTAGTTTCGACCAAAGGAGCCTCCCTTGCTAAGAAAATTGCACCCTCTCTAGGTCCAGCTGGAGGCTTATAAGAACTTGTGGCTGATAAATAATCCGGTTTATTTCAATTAAAAAGGAAACCTTAACTTGAAACCTGACTCAAAGATTTTAATACACGTGCAGTTGTATCAATCGTGCCAGTTAGCATTAATGTACAGACAAAATTCTTCAGGGCAGATTTAATGTTTAATTTTTTACCACCATTACTGGATGACTGTCGTCAACTAGGATGGATCTAGTTACACTAACACAACAGTCCAGACCTGTCTTTTTGGCTGTCTCCAACGGGCAGCAATTGCTCGTGTCCGGCGTTAATGTCATGCCTCTTCCTGGGGCCAACCTTATTGTATAGAATCATAACTCTCTCCCTGAGCCCATCTCATTGTCATCTTGTTATTGATGCGGTCGTGTGTTGATGGCAGGAGCTCGTTTCACCGATGCACGTACTCCGTGCTGTGCTGTAGAGCACAGGAGCTGACCAATTTTGGAAGAATGTGGGTTTTTTTTATCGCAGAGGTAAACGGTTGAGAGGAATAGAGGAGAGGTTTTGCAGCAACAAAATGAAATGTAACTTCCTCACACGAAATACAAACATCTACATGCGCATAATCCACTTGGTTTGCGACGGGGTTAATAGACAAGTTCAGATCAGCTGATGTAAAAAGAATCATGGAATCCGTTGACCTTAACAACTAGAGCTTGTTCAGGGAGGGACCTGATGCTTATAACTTAAGCTTAATTAGCACTGGTTGAGCAGGTGTTTTTTTGTTTTTGTTTTTCTTTGGTACATCAGAGTAACGTTGAGAGGGTACGTCAGATTTTCGGGAGTTTTGAGAGCAGGTATAGCTGATAGGAATGCCATGCACGTGATAGAACTAGGTTACCGAAGTAAATTAGAGCTCGCCACTAGAATTTTTTTTCAAAATAGACCCATTCTTTAATGGGTGGCAATCGTCAAATTAGAAATGAAATTTAATACACGTACCTTAGACACAGACCAACACTGGAAATGCGACAAATAAGGAAATTTCATGTATTAGTAGAGGGCGCTGTTACCACTGAATCCTTTTCCTTTCGCTCTGGCCGGGTTCTGCCCGTGAATCGTGCGACGCACGTCAGAGTACTGCGTGAAATGTAATCATTCACAGGGCCGGACCGACCCAGCATTTTTTGTTTGCAGGGGAGTCGGAAAATTTTGGTGGGGGGGGGACTTCGTGAAGTTGTTGCTGTTGGTGAAGTCATAGTTGGTTTTTGCTTATCAACCGTACACGCAAAAATTGCAATGAGCGGGGAAGGGGGCGCTCTGAACCGTGCCATTCTTTTTACAATCTGACCTTTGAATGAACACTGACCTTATGCCCATTCGTGTGCTTCGTGAATCATGAACAGCACTAACTGATGCAATTCTATTTTTCACTGGCAGATACATGTACATGTACATGTAGTTGGTTTCTGTGTCTGTGTCCACTCCGATGTCTAGGACATTGTGTCGGGTACTCTTGTCAGTCTTAACAATTATAGTGCATTCTTGCTCAGTCTCAGTTCAGTTACCTCAACTCGACCTTGTGGAGGTATCTCAGGTTTACCTAACGCTGTCAGTCACCGATTTTGCGACAGTAAAGTCCGAAAAAGGTAGGAGCTAGTGCCAACAGTTTGTGCGCATTTTCAGCTTGCAATAAGGCAACCGTTGGCTGGCAAACACTGGGACATGACGGAAAGTGGGCTCTTAACTCGAAGCTCGAAATCTAGTCAACTAACATGCCCGAATCACCGAAGAAGAGAAGGGTCAAAAGACTGGAACATGTTTTTGGAAAATCGAACGTGATTTTAATCTAAAAAATATTAATACTAACATCAAATGTGTTTTTCAAATAATGAGATTTAATTTTACACACTGAACATGTTTTACCATTCGGATGCAATTTCCTTTGCATAAAACAGCCGTAGGTTGAGAATTTGGCATGAATTTTCTTGCCACATCTCATTTCATAAGAATTCAGAAACATGGTGGGCTTTTGAACTTGCTCGGCCTGATTACACCCAAACCTGTCTTTGATAATGCAGCGTGCTCCCCTGTCGCACATTGAATGATCACGTTATGTCGAAGATGTGAATAGGCCTGCATATGCAGGCCTTTCTTCAGCCGTCAATCTTTCATAATGCAAGGTGCGATAAGTCGATCTTCACGGTCACATTAATATCAGTATCAGTTGATCCTAGCTGTTTAAAATCTCCAACTTTACTTCCCTTTTTAAAACGCCTATAGAGCGTCAATTGAAGCGGCCTAACTTATTGTTACTGTCATTGTTATTATTATTATTAAAACACTTTCACACAACCGTAAATTAGAAGAAAAGGCAATTGTTTGCTGGCAGAATTATTGGTAAATTATGAAGTAAGATCGACAGATTGGGCAAAGTTTGAGCGATCGCCGCACCCAACAGTATAAAACACGCCGTTAATATTTTGTCTAAACTGAAGATGGAGGGCTCCATCAAACTGCGCCGTGTTCCCTCCAGCTTCCAAGACGCTGGCAGAGTCATGGACCCGAAAAAGGCATTACGTCGGGACGAAGAGATGCACCAGTTTGACTCGGAGACGAGCCTGGAGACTCGAGCTGTCTCCTCCCTGTGCAAGCTAAAGGGAGGCGGGCTGACCACTCCTCTAGTGCCTTCCATCAGCATAGCCTCAACATCCATGTTCGGAAAGATCGACGAAATTCCACGGTGTCTTAAAGTCAGTCTAAAATGCTGTGACTATATTCGTTTCATAACTCAATCTGGGAGGGTGGCGACCCTGGTTACCTTTACTCAAATTTCGCTTTCTAAAACCAAAATCAAATGTAGGCCTAGGCGCCATCTTAGAGTTTTGTTACCACAATAACGACGTCTGTCTATATACTGTGGCACAGGGAGAGTAATCGAGTTAGTTTTTAAACTGTGGCCCGAAACTCACTTGGAATTACCTTGTCACAGGTTGTAATCAGCAAAAAAAAATGAAAAAGAGGCCTTGCGCCACAATCCTGATACGACTGATTGTCCTCAAGTTCCGTTCCCTCTTTGATACTAATAGGCGCAGGTGATTTCATGCTGGAATGTTGTTAAAGAAACCAGAGGCCCTTGAAAAGCAGATTCTTCGCTTTGATATTCGAAACAACCATTTTTTTAAATATTGAATTTGCAGGAAGGCTACATTTACAGCCGACTGGCAAATCACTCCTGCGAGTCGGCCGCCCACGCTATCAATTCACTAGAGGGCGGTGTTGGCACTTTGGTTTTCTCCAGCGGCATGGGGGCAATCACAACCACGTTACTGGCCTTGCTGAAGACTGGCGACCACGTGGTATGATTGAATTAACTGACGCTCACCTCAGCTTAAAGCAATCCTGCAAGTTATAGGGACATTTCAGGTGGCTTAAAAATATCATTTTAAAAAAGAAATCTGTAACTTTGTTTACTTGAGACTATTTCCTTGACATTTTTAACCACTAAGCGGCTTGGGATCTGGTAGAAGATTAAAGTTAACGAGTCTTAACAACTTCGTTTTACCACTTATTTAGATAGCACCTTATCCCTTGTATTCGACAACATACACCATGATGAAACGAACTCTTTCAAACTATGGAATAGACGTGACTTTCATCGAAGCCGGTAACATCGAGGATTACAAGAAGGCTATTAAACCCAACACGAAGGTAAAAACCGCTCGCATTTTCGGCACCGTTTTTTTCGCAACGCCTATTTTTCTGGAGACAGGCCAGCCAAAGAAGCTTACTTTTTTCCATTTACGCGCTCAGTTTACGCGGACCGACAAGCGTGATGTCTTGAGCTTCCGTCGAAACCTTACTGTTGCACTAAGGCTGTTTCCAAAACGGGGCTTCCAAAGGTAGGCTAGGTCCGTTGTCTGCGCGTCTCTGTGTATTTTCAATGGAACGAAGACCTAGACCCACCTCTAGATAACAGATTCGGATGCAGCCTGATACTAAGTGTCTCTATGCCAGTGGCGTATCCAGCGGGAGCGGGGGAGGGGGCAACTTGCCTCCCTGACTTTTTTTTTTTAAATAATACTTCATAAGTGAATAGGAAAGAAAGTGATCGGTATATTATTTATCAAACACTAGCACCAAAACCCTAAGAAAACAACACTCCCCCAACATCATGTTGAACGGGCCCGAAGCCGCATTCGCTTTTGAATTCCCCCTGCCCCCCCCCACACACCAAAAGCTGGATAAGCTGCTGCTCTAGGTTCATGCAAAGTTTCAAGAAGATTGAGCGAGTGACAACCGAGTCCTTAGGTGCGGAGTTTGCCCCCATCCCAGTAGTAAAAATGATCTGAAAAAGCCTGGCTCTTGTAGGGTTACCGATGTTTTTACGTTTGCTGTTTCATAGACATGCGCGCATCATGCTGAACTTCTTTGATTAGTCATGGTCGGGACATGATGCACTGTTCTTAAAACATGGCGATGCTGTGTATCTTCCGTATAACATTCTTCAGATTTTTTACGGAGAGACACCCAACAACCCTTGTCTCGGGATCCTCGATTTGAAGGCCTTTGCGGACGTTGCCAGGCTTGTGCCTACAGCGGTCAGTGTCGTGGACTCCACTTTCGCTTCGCCGTACCTCCAGCGCCCTCTGGAGCTGGGGGTGGACATCGTCATTCACAGTTGGTGAGTCAGACGAAATGAACCCAATTGCCATGAAACCTATCAAAATCAAACACAAGCACACAAGTACCCCGCATGTGACATGCTCACAATGTTTCTCTTATGTTGTCTTCTCCAGTACCAAGTACCTTGGGGGACACAGTGACATCGTCGCTGGCTGCATGAGCACCAAGGATGAGGAGATTTTGTCCGGCATCTGCGAATTTCAGAGAGAAACGGGAAGCTGCCTGGTGGGACCATTTTCTTTTCAAGAGAGTTAATAAGCTAAAAAATGGTACAGAAAATTCTTGTATAAGAATAATTTCCGAATTACCAAATAACAAACAAACATCTGTTGTTTGAACGTGAAAAACAATGACTGAAGATTTAGAAAATAATGTTAACACCAGAAAAATGAAACAGCACCACGGTCGCCGGTTTGTTGGATTCTGAAAAGATAAAAAAAACCCAGTTTGTTTGGTTCCCCCGACCCTTCATTTCTGATGGATGGCGGAGACTGGTGTAATGTTGTAGTGTATTTTTGTCCTTCAGTCTCCGTTTGATGCCTTCCTGTTGCTACGTGGGGTACGCACATTGCCGTTGAGGATGGAAAAACACAGCCAGAACGGGATGAAGATTGCGCAATATCTCGAACAACATCCCAAGGTAAACGGAACTGTTTCAGGTCTCTTTCATTTTGCCGCGTTCGCGTCGTCAGAATGAGCACCCGTGGTTTTCATTTCGGTATGTCCCTGTAAATTGACAGATCGGCAAGGTGTATTACCCTGGCCTGCCGTCCCATCCCCAGCACGAAGTGGCCAAGAAACAGATGTCAGCCTTCGGTGGGATGATTGCCTTTGAGGTAGCCGATGGGCTTGAAGCCGCAAAGACTCTTGTCGAAGTAAGAATCTAATCGACCTGGAATGGAATATTCCATCAAACATCTCTTGAGCTCATTCTTGTACCATTGCACGAATGTAAAATTAGAAATAGAAATTACGCATCTGTTTTATGCAAAACCAGAATAAATTCTAAATGAAACTAGCCTGAAAAAATGCTTTCTTTGCTTGCAAGTTCAGAGGATGTTCGTTCATCCTAACTACGAAAACAGTACTTCCATTCGAGGATGGAATGGAACTTCTGTTTCTGCGGTGCGGTCAGGGAGTGCTTCCCGTTCTGTCACTTATCCTGCCGGCACGAATGGAGAGGGGCAAATTGGGTAAAATGTCTACCCTAAGAACACAACATAATAGACGCGCCCTCAGTTAGAGTCTATGTCCTAGTCCGACGTAGGCCTATACTGAGAGTCGCAAACACTAGTCAGCTGACTGTCTCCTCCATACGCCTTGTAATGTTTTCCTTGGCCTGGTTTTCGTGCCTGCTGTCGCTATCCGCTTTCAAGTTGAGCAGAAGCACCCCTCGTGGGTTGAAAAGAGCAATGTATGGAGGGAGTGTTCATTATGTTGGGTGCGACGCGACTTTATGGCGTGCATTTTATAGTCATTTTTGTGAACCAGCAAATTTAAGTGCAGTTCCCACCAAAAGAGCGTCATTTACTATTAGGAAAGTTGCGCCCTCTCTTGGTCTAGCTTGGGGCTTATTAAACTCGTTCCTGAAATTGGTATATTTGGCGTTACTTTCAGTCTGTAAAGCTCATTAACCTAGCTGTGTCTCTGGGCTCCACCGAAAGTCTGATCGAGCACCCGGCGACGATGACCCACGGTCCCTTTCAGATGAGGCCCGAGGACAGACGGAAAGGAGGAATCTCGGACGGACTCATCAGACTCAGGTATAACTCAAGACATTAATCACGGGGTGGAAGGGACATTAAACAGATCTTTGAGCTATTTCTTAGATTTCTGATCAAAGCACAGGCTAATTCTAAAACTTACTCTTTCATTTATCGGTGCAGCATTTAGACCCTAAGTTGGGGAGAGGCGTTTTATCCTATGTTGCCAAAAGAATAGATTTACAACTCTACTTTTCGATTCTTCTTTTTCGATTCTTGGGACGAATATAATAATAATCGTTTTGTCCCATTTTTAGTGTTGGCATTGAGAATGTGGACGACCTTATCCGGGATCTGGAACAAGCCCTCGCTAAAGTATGAATTATTTGATTTGAAAAAGCTTATGCTTGTCGAAATTAAGAGCCATATTGCTTTGTTCCCCCTTTCCTTTGTGAGACACTTTTTTCTGATGGTTTAATTAAAATACCATTTTGCATGGATTCCATTTTTCAGGCAAAAGCCTAATTTCCGCGGTTTTTTTCATATAAAACACCAGGCTAATTTCAGACCTTAAGAACCAAATTTATCTGAGCGGCTTTTCAAGATGACGCTTACACTATTAGAACTGCCAAGTGTTATCCAAATTTTACAAAAACACAAACATCCTTATATTTGATTAGTGTCGTCTCAAAGATCTTGGTATTTTGTAAGTTGAAGAGATAGGAGCTAGCTATGGCATAGGGGATAGGAGCTAGCTATGGCATAGGGGATAGGAGCTATATAGCTATGGCATAGGCCTATTTTACATTTTTTTGCATCTTCTCTTGTAAAGCCATCAAGACGTGATTGAATGATTTTCATGTATATTTCATGGACCTATAATCACTTTAAATTTAATAACATATAAATAACAAGATAAAGAGAGATATTAGAAGCTTTATTCGTTTCAATTAAGTTCACGTTAAATATAACCTGTCAGTCAAGACTACTGACCAACAATGAGACTTATCGTATCAGACTTGTTGGCCGAGATCGGGCCGCTTGTTCTCGTATGTTCACGAACAGCTCGATTTGTTGTTCGTGGGTTGGCCGCTCAAACGCCGGGAACAAACAACCGGTTACCGATGGTAGTTAGTGACAAGCAACATGCAACATGGTGGCGTCCATGTAGGCTATGTTATTCGAGAGTTAATGTTTGGATGGGCTGAATTCTTTTCTATATAAACAGGAACATTCATTTCTGTGTTTGGGAAAATAATCAATGTTAATTTTGCAAAACTTCGCATTGTCTATGTCGCTTTGGAAGCCATCTCTCAACTTTTTGCAGCTGTTCAAAAATCTAAATCTCACGAGTTTTTCCGTGTGTTCCTGTAAAACCCTGACGAGGAGGTGGTGTGTGATCCTGTTCCGAGAACAGTGTTCTTGAGTCGTGTTCCCGTCGTTCGAGCGCGAGAACAAGAAACCCGTGTCAACAACAGGCCGCCCGAACTCGACCGTTGTTTAATATTTCCGCGACACATAGTTTCTTAATAACTTAATATGTTTTATTTGTTCGTTCGCACATTTCTTTAAGTCTACTTGCTTGTTGTCTTCCAGCCATTTCAGCAGCTCAAAGGAGCGGTTCTTTGACTAAAAGTAGTTCATATAAACATGGGCGTCTATCGGTGTGGGACGGGGGACATCCCCCCTCTTTCTGGGGGGGGGGGGCGGATACTATATCAATTATCCCCCACACACTTTTTTCGTAAAACCTAAATGAAAATGTATAGCTTGCAAAAGCATTTGTTAAAAAAAAATGGCCCAGACCCCACGCTGCCCAGAGCTTCGCGTTTCATTCTTCGCATTTTTGTTCTAATCAGGGCTATGTCCCCCCCCCCTTTTCAAAACGGATTGACGCTGCGTCCTTGCATATAAAAACCTGCTTCACCTTGTCTTGTTTGTCAGCGTCCATTATTCTTGTGCCGTCTTGGCCCGCCCTAAAAGGAAAACAGAGCTCGTCTCGAGTAGAAATAACAAAACTCAATAGAAAATATTATTATTCTCGATCAGATAGCTGTTTTCGCGTCCTTCATGATTAGATTAAGTTTTGGTGTGAGAGTAGCCCGTGGTCAAAGAGCCATTGGGTCAGTCAGTACTTAGTTGGCCAGTCCCAAACGGTAGAGGACGCTCGAACTCATTCGCATGCACTGGGTATGGATGGACTGGACTCGACATCGACAGCCTGCACGGTGTACTGTGCTGTGTTAATGTTCAACGTTGGTTGGCGTTTGTGGAACACAGACGAATTTTGCTGTCACGAATTATTTCGTAAGTATATGCCGATTACAGGTTTTGCTTTCAATAATTAGACCATAGGTGTAGTGTTAGCTAATATCATGAAAATATTTGTCATCAGGTCATGGCTCGAGCTAAGTTTGTTCGCGATCTGCACGTACGTCCGTGTCGCGGTCGACGGGCCATTGATTGCATCATCTGATCATTTTGCACTCTCTCGAAGCATGGAGGAATCCTCCATGCCTGAAGTAGGCCTAGGCCAGTGATCTTTCCTACAAATTATCTGAACGTGCTGCTGTGATCTAGCCTTGGTCAACTTGTACACGTCCCACGACTCTTTACTTCTACTGACACGACTGCAGAAGGCATCCTGTGTGCCTTCAACTTGTGATACCAATTACCATTTTCACTTGTCTGGAGGTCGTATGACCACCACCAGAGACCAGTTTTCAAGGGAATAAGGGCTTTTCTTTAGGGCCTAATTTGAAACATACAAACAAATGCAAGACATCAACTAATGTCCTAATCACCTTCCCTAAGTCACAGGCAATTTGAAAACAACTATCAAAACTTGATGACCTTCACAGCTTTAGCTTAATGGAGTGATCTTCAATGCTCTCACAAACGTGCCACTCATCACTGATCGTGACCTATTGTTGAGTGTTGAAGTGAGGCACATGTAAGGTAGTTTTACTGAATGGAGTGTTAGTATTCCTCGTTTTGATTTAGTGTGACCAATCCCGTCCAAAATCGAAAAAGAAGAATACTGACACACCACTCAGTAGAGTTACATGTACGGTGTCCAAGTGAAGCCATGCATGAAATAAATGTTTGCAACCTTGCAGCGCATCTTGTGTGACTTTGTTTTATCCTTAAAGCTAACATTACTAAGGCATTTTGAATCCAAAAGTTCCAAATTTTTGGAGCCCACTGAACGAGTTTGGCCCATGAATATTTGGCTCCACATGCATCCTTGCTTCTGATGAAGCTAGCATTAAGTTATGTTACTTTTATTTTGTAAATGTATTTGAAGTTTTTCCTTCCGTAACTGCAACTTTTCTGCATCAATTGCATTGCGCTTGTTTGTGTGCATTGCAGATTGGCCTCTAAGCCGCATCCTGAATCAAAGATGGGAGATACTCCCAAGCCACGTCGAGTTCCCTCCGGCGTCCAAGATGCGGGTGGAGTCAAGGACCCAAACACAGAGCTGCGTCGGGATGAGGAGATACATCAGTTTGACTCCAAGACAAGCCTCGAGACTCGAGCTGTCTGCTCCTTGCCCAGGCTGAAGGGCCGTGAGTTGACCACGCCCCTCGTACCATCCATCAGTGTTGCCTCGACATTCCGCATCAATAAAGTTGATGAGTTCATGGATTGTTTGAGGGTGAGTTTCCAGATCAATTTCACGTACATTCATGGCATTGTTTACAGTTCATCAGAAAATTGCTGCAGAAACTGCAGATTGTAAAAGTATTCGATTTGTAAGTGTGACATCACTTTAAACCACACCCACTACATGTAGAGTTACATGGAACAATGGAACCAGATGTTCACATTCAACTTCAGCATTTGTCTAATGGGTGTCTGTCTGCATGTATGACAGAGCCACGAGCTGAATACTGTACACCATTCATATACATGTATAATCCGTGTTTGAGCCAATGTGGCATTGCCGTTAAGTTGTGCTAGTCAAATAAAGGACTTGTTTTACATGCAGCTACACAGATGGGTAAATGTTTTTCATTAGTCCACTTGGTTGAGTGATGTGAATTCCAGAGAAATTCATCTTTTGCCAGATTTTGACATTTCTCATGTTGCTTCATCAGTGCTTGAGGCGATGTGACTGTATCCGTCTTACAATGTTGCCTTTTTTACAAAGTATTTAAGACCTGAGACACTTCTGAATTTCCTCTTTTGTTCTTTATTTTCATCACTAATGAGCTCAGCAACACGACAATCATGTTATCATTTATTCTCGCAACTGGGTTATTCTATGAATTTAGGGTAGGGCTGAGTCAATTTGAGTAATGTACTATTTGAATATTCGACCTTCAATTTCATCGAATATCTGAATATTCGGACATACCAACCGGCAGATTGTTGATGAACAAATGATATATAAAATCAGTTACAATAACACACACAGTTGTACATTATAATCACTAAGATAGCTTCTCACATCTAGGAGTATCTCCAGCCAAGATTTAGCAAGATTTAAGAGACGAGCAATACTTCTTGCCCTGTTGAAAATTTCTCCCTTCCTTTTCATGAATTTTGCATTCGAATATTCAATTTTGGAAAACGGTATTCTATTATTTGATAATCCATTTAAATATTCAGATATTAGGCATATTTTTGGATATTTTTGTGTCCCTGGTACATCTGACCTTTGTTACTTGACATGGAAATATCACCGAAATTGATTTCAAACTATTACTATTTGTTTGGCAGGTAATTTGCATTAATTCATCACTCTTTGAAATTAGAACAGGTGTTCTGAACTTACAAAATCATGTGTCAGATTTGACAGATTTTATTTATAGATTTTATAGATTTTACAGAATTTATAGATTTACCCAACTCAGCATTTCTTTTGTTCCATCCAGTGTCAGAAAGTCGTATCAGTGTTATTTAAATTGATTTTTTTGCCAAAAAAAGGTCAAGTTTGAAAGTTTCCTTTTTAGCATAGTAGAGATTATTGTCAGTTGGTTCCAGAGGAAGTTATATGATACTGAACACAAGTTGCTGGTCATCGTATAAATTGCTCTCTTTGATTGTTTTCTCAAAGCGAAAGAACTTTGGACATGCATTTCTCCCCATGGCCAAATATCAACATAACCGACAAACAAATAAATAAATGACAGATAAGTATCGCGTGACAATTGGGCTAGCATGTAATCTTTAATCTTCTTTTGGACTAAGCGTCTGGATCACTGTGACATTTCTTCTAAAATGACCCTTGCTCTTGTTGACACTCCAATGCACTCCAATATTCCACAGAGAGAAAGTGGCTATGGCCCTCAACAAGGCCACACCACTTCAATGGAGAAACTGCATACACTTCAAAGAATTACTGGTAACTGGAGGTCAAGTTGGTCCAGTACCCAGTTACCACAGTGTTATATAAGCAAAGCCAAATGCCTCAATCCTCTGGAGTACACTGGAGTTTACTTCTATTGGTCGGGCAGTAAAATCATTCCACTGGTAATGCAAAGAATCCTCCAATGCACATCGGCTGCAGTGCATTGGCAGGTACTACTGACTTGCAGTAAATTGCTCTCATATAAACCAGAAAACAAAAAGTACCTCCTCTTAAAAACATAGATAATCTATGGCATGACAATCCATTTAGATTTGGTTCTGTTCAGAATGAATCAGTCTTAAAGTTTGAAGGAGTTTTTCCCCATGTTGTGGCTTCACATTTTTTCTGGGTCAGGATTTGTCAGTGACTTGACAGATAAAACCCTGGCCTATTGTGTGCTTTTTAAAGAGCTCCATGCAGCACACCGTATCGCGTGACCTGAAGGGACGGGTATTCAATAGAAACCCAATTTAGCTGTGTTTGCAGAGCGATGCACAAAACACTATACATTCTGCGTCGGGGTGCACCCGTAGTCCTTCAAAAATCCACCAACTGCTGTCATGGAAAAATTGAATACAGTCTCATTAGTCCTGCAAAATATATAATGTATTATTTCTTGTTCTTGAAGGGGTGACTGCTTCCCCAATCCTTCATAATCCTCCGGCAATTCCTGTCATTATGTTGAGGCAGTGTGAATGGCATCCCGGAGCAATGAAGATAATTTCACATATAATCTGGGCATGAATTAATGCATGGCTGAGCATATATACAAAGCAAGGTCTAGCCCACAAGCGTGGCGCAACGCATTCTGCGCAATCAGCCAGACGTTTTCTGCCTTTCAGCCTCAATCCTCCAGAATTCTCCAGTTGCTGGGAATTTTGGAAGATTGAGGAACGGCAGGGTTAGAGTAAGGTTCAGTATTTGCTCAGTGAAGCGGGGCAATTTTTTTTGTGCAAAGCAAAAATGAGCGGGGTACCAGTCTCAGATAATAGACTTTTGAAAGCAGTTTGGCTGGTGACCTCTTTGATTGCTTACCCCCAGGTTTTACATGTACCTCTGCAGAATTACCTAAGGAAAAAGCTCTCCAGTCTCAGCCTGAATATTTAGAGAGAGTACAAAAAAGACCAAATCTGACCCCCCAAAGTAAATTTAAAAATGAAAAATGAAAAAAATTAAAATTTATACAAAATTAAAACAATAAAAGTGGAAAAATATTTGTATCAGAAGTGTTTCTAATTACTTTGGAATACATGTCTGGATTTGACATTACAGGACGGCTACATTTACAGCCGACTGGCAAATCACTCCTGCGAGTCCGCTGCCCACGCTATCAATTCCCTAGAGGGCGGTGTTGGCACGCTAGTCTTCTCCAGCGGTATAGGGGCGATCACAACCACACTGCTTGCCCTTCTGAAGAGCGGGGACCATGTGGTATGGTAATATTGCTGTAACGACCTTTAAAATTTTCATCTCATCAATTTTTATCATATTTTGGTAAAGTTCAATCGTAAAGTTTAAGTCATAATCTTAAATGCCGACCTTCAAAGTGCAGTAATCTTTCACACAGCTTCTGGTTATGACATAATCAGATTGCGGACCCCTTTGTAGGGTCTCAGGTGACTTTTGAGCCTCCCCTTAAAAGTGTAATGCCACTTGGACTTCATGAGAGCTCTCTTCACCTCCTTATGACGTTGATTCATTAACTTGAAATGCCATACATTTATACTTGCAGAACTTGTTTCTCTGTCCATGGATATCAAATCATGTCAAATGTTGATTTTCAGAATAAAAATTTCGGCCTTGAGTGAAGCGGTCGAGGCATCAGAGTCTTGCAAGGAGTGAAGAATTGAAATTCAGTGAATTTTAGCTTAGACTGCACCTTCATGGAGAGTAATGAATGATTAGAAGACTAGTATTGATTCTTACCTTTTGCCAGGGCTTAGAATCCTTTATAATCCGCTGTCTTGTGGGAACTCATTAGAAACGGTCATTAAACGCTGTGTAAAGTTACAGTGGCTGGGTTCTGCCTTCCTCAACTCTACAAAAATCCTCCAAAGGTGTTGCATTTTCAAGGATCTGGGTAAACTAGAGTGAGTGACAATTACAGTTGCTTATTTTTGGTGATATTTACCTGAATCAATGTTCAGGATTCCTTCAGTAATAGAAAATCCTGAAAAATTCTTGGGAAAAAAGTTTCCTGGAAAGGCATGGAAATACGGCATTTCACAACAGTGTGCCTCCAAGAGTTCGCAACTGGTTAGCCAATCACAGTGCAGGAAATCTGTCCTCCCAATGCGCATTTAGAAAGGGTCGACAGATGTCTTACATTGTGATTGGTCAACGTGTTGCAAACTATTGGAGATGGCACTATTGTGAATCGCCTGTATTGTCATATATTAGTCCGAGAAAGTCCTGGAAATGTCATAAAGTTTTGTTTGTAGATTTCTTTGGAAACCTTGTTTTTTGGGCTGTTTCCATTGGCTTTGTATTTTTGCTCAACCTCCATCCCAGATTGCTCCAAATTCTGCCTATTCTGGAACATATGTCTTGATGAAGACCATGCTTCCAAATTACGGGGTTGAGGTGACGTTCATTGAAGCCTGTAACATTGAGGAGTATAAAAAGGCCATAAAACCCAACACTAAGGTAAAAATCCCTCGCAATACAGTAAGTTGTAAATATTTGATAGAAAGATATTTTCTTTTTGGTCAAAGTATTTTATTTCGTACATTGGCTATTTGAATGGGAAATTTGTTTCGATTTTCTGCCTTGTTATGTTAAAGCAGTGAAATATATTTTCCTCAGCTAAATTGGCTTAAAAGCTTTATGAGTGTAGTATCCGTTCCAAAACTAAAAAGTCAAGTAGCAGGAATTTCAAAATGTCATGATTTTCTTAACAAGATTTATAAAAACAAACACTTTTTAAAATTCTTACAATAGCTCAAGTACGAATTGTGCATTCGAAGTGGAAGATATTCTTCAAGCCTTGCTCTCCTTTCTGCTTTGCTCCATACTAAGTTGAATCTATTACAATCCAATAACTAGAACAGAAAGATCTATCAATGGGACAAAATTCAAGAGATTTTTCCTATTGTAATTAAGCTCTCTGGTATGTTCTTGATTCTAAGGTGATATTTTAAACCACTTAAGATGAAATTTCAAACATGCTCCGAGAAACAAATGACATACTTTTTGACCGTTTTCCTCAGATTTTTTACGGTGAAACACCCTGTAATCCGTGTTTGGCTGTTCTGGACTTGAAGGCCTTTGCTGATGTGGCCAAGACCGTGCCGACGGCTATCAGCATGGTCGACTCCACATTTGGCTCCCCCTATCTGCAACGCCCTCTTGATTTAGGGGTAGACATTTCAATTCACAGTTGGTAAGGAGCAGACTTGGTTGACAGTGTCTTCATTTGATCTGTTCTTCTTCAGATCTTCTAGATCTATTCCCAGTAGAAAGATAAATGAAATGCGTCAACCAGGACAGGTTAGAAGTAGAAAAGTGAGAAACATGCACGGCAATAGTGGCAGCATCGAGCTGTATACTCCCCAGGGAGCTGAAATGGTATTTGGAATGTTTCATAGGCCCAGTGAACAGGGGTAATAATGGATACAGCGCTTTAATCTGTGTTAAAGGTGCTTTATAAATAACTATATTATTATCATTATTATTTAGTATTTCAACATCAGGCATTGATAATAAGAAAGTAGAATACATGCGTCGATGGCTCAAAAAGTTACATTTTCTGATTTTTACGAGCTGCCTTTAAAGGTAAGCTGGAAATCTTTAAACCATTCATTAATCTTGTTACATGAAGTCAAAATCAAGTGAAATAACTAGTAAAAGCTTTTTTGTTTTGCTTATCATGCTTCTATGAAAATAATATGTACAAAAAATTGGTCTACTCTTTTTTACATTGTGTCGCCTAAGTTACTTCAGACGGCAACTTTTGTTATATGACACTAAACACAGTACGGGGAGCCAGTCACATCCGTAGTGTTTCCCCAATCGTTATAAGTTCTATTTGGGTTTCAACCCAAGAAAATATTTGACACATGATTAAGCATTAAGCTTGAATGAAACAGTAGAGTACTTCATGTTCCTACCAAGTAATTCCCTTGTGCTGTCAAAAATGAACGGAAGAAAATCTACCTGTCACTTTAGATATTGAAATGGGGCCAGTGTTTTTTTCCAAATAGACATCACACTGTGTTTTCAAGCCAGTTCTAACCTCCATTCAGATACATTAATGTCGGAGCCAGCAGGAATACATTGTGAGCATGACTGGAACTTACTGGTCCCTTAAGTGTGCTTGGTATCATATGCACCATTGCAGAATGCACAAGGTAAATGTACTCTACAGCCAACATTCCCCAATTTCTTTGAGGCCAAAGGGGCCAGATGGGAATTTGTTATTTCGAGGAAGAGGGGCATTTGAAAATTTGCGAGATCATCAGAAAAGCAGATGAGGGTGGGCAGGGTGGACGAATGATATATTTTGTGCATGCCTAACTGTGCACCTGGGCAGCCATGTGGGATAATTACAAAAGCAGCGGGTAAGGGCTATTCCTTGAGTGGGAGGTGGAGCAAGTGTTTTTCACCTCTTTGAAGACACAGGATGATCCAATTCTGGCCCAAACAATCTGAACAGAAGATCTGTTCTGAACTGGCCGCAGCTGTCATCCAGTTTTGAAGATTTTATCTTTATATAGTCTGTTACGAAAAATGTTAAAGACTTTGTCACAGTGCAGATTATGATGGGATACATTCAGTTTGTCACCTGTTCCTTTCACTTTTTGGCAGCACCAAATATCTCGGAGGTCACAGCGATATTGTCGCCGGATCCGTGAGTACCAAGGATGAAGAGATTCTCTATGGTGTCGGCGAGTTCCAGAAACAGACAGGGAGTTGTCTGGTAATGAGCGACTCCTGTACTTTTGCAGTTTTCGTAGCACTCCCGAGACGTGATATCTGACCATTTATTTTCTTTGATTTCTTGTCACCATAGTTCGGCACTAATTGGACCATTAATTGACTAAGGATAATGCTGTCCTACATTGTTTCTCAGAGAGGACTGAGTTATTCATTTTATACACACTTATGATTGAAGATCAGGAAACAAAGATAACAGGAGTTTGTGAGACATTCATCACTTGTTTGTAGCTCAGTTTGGTAAGATAGCCCATACTGTAAAAGGTTGTGTTGTTAATTTCTTTTACGTTCAGAGAAGAGTCCCCTAGCAAGGTTACAGCGTCTCAACTCAATGTTTCTAATGTTAATTTTCCAGTCTCCGTTTGATGGTTTCCTGTTGCTGCGTGGGGTGCGCACACTGCCGTTGAGGATGGAAAAACACAGCCAGAATGGGATGAAGATTGCGCAATATCTTGAGCAACATCCCAAGGTACTCAGATCTCATACCCAATTCCTGTGAGTTTGGTGCTATGATGCTACTCATGTTTACTCAACTAACACAGATCCAGGTCTTGCGCTCGGGGGAACGCAAATGGTCAATTTTGCTAGGTACCCAAGGTATATATTGTGCTTAGGTTGCCAGGGAAGAGCATACTGGTACTCGCCAAATGATTGCCACTACAGCTTGCCCCTTTAGGCCAAAAAAGTCTCCGGTTTCTGGTCACCGTGCGTGTCACCATAGACCTGCGTGTTGGCAAAATAAAGAATTTTTTTATTTTGCATAAAACGATTTCCAAAAGCCCCCAAACTTACTTGATCGGCAGGAATTCTGCTACTGCGTAACTTTAACATGTTTTCAATGGGTGGGATTGAGTTATATGTACGGTGAAGGAGTCCACTTAGGCCTCCACACATTTCAGTCGGGCACTCTTATCAGATGACGTCATTCGTGTATCTTTACATGAAGGCCTGGTCCGAATCGGCTACGGCTTAATATTACGCATGATTCTCTGGGAACTGGCTGTGGATGCTGCCAAATACTCAGTGTAATTTCCGGCCGTAGCCAATTGATTCGGACCCATCAGGCCCACATCTGTGAACCAGACAAACGAAGTGGTCTTAGCGTCCTGCGTAAGTATGCAAATTTAAAACGCTTTTAAGCAACAAACCATGAGGGGCCAGTCTATTTCCGTGTCGGTGAGGCAGTGGCGGCACATACGCATGCAGTACATGCAGTGGCAATGGACGTCGCGTTATGACAACCATACATGTAACAACTCATGCATCGTCACTTGCCAAGAACAAAGGTAGATTAGAGTGGGAGGAGATTTTATTTTCTGAGCTGAATTTTTTCGCCAGTATTTTATATGCAACTTGTTTCTTGTAAGCTAAAACAGAAAACAATGTGTACAGTGTATCATTTACCTGATGAGAATTTCATTTTCGTTTTGACCCTGGCGCAGAACTGCTTTCATTTCTTTTTTTTCACAGGCTATTTGACGTGCAACTTGTTTCCTCTAAGTTAAAGCAGAAAACAATTGCAAAGAATGTCATATACTGCTACCTCATGAGAATTTCATTTAATACTGGAAACTGGAGCTGAACATTTATTTTTCACATTTAATCTTTCCATGGTTGTGCTACTGTATTTTAACAAGCTCAATTAAGCCAAGAATAGAAGCCTCTTGTTTGAGTGAGATGACTGAAACAGTGGTATACTGTTTCAAAACAGTAATGGATTACCTTGGAAAAATGCAAAGCTGAAAAATGATGGCAATTCCCAGCAGTAGGTCCGTTGTTCCAAGTACAGTCTTTTGTTACACGGACCAGCTCTTTTGTCCGAAACCGGGCACTCCGGCTCTGCTGTAAACCCACAGTGCCCGCAACTGGGCACCCCAGCACAAAGTGGTTAATCCGCAGGGAGAAGTGATTCATCTAGGTTTTTACGTGGGTTGTTTCCACTGACCATGTTTTTAGTTAACTCTCCATCTTCCTATCCTCACAGGTCAGCAAGGTGTATTACCCTGGCCTGCCGTCCCATCCCCAGCATGAGATCGCCAAGAAACAGATGTCCGCCTTCGGTGGGATGGTCGTCTTCGAGATGGCTGATGGACTTCAAGCGGCTAAGACTCTGACTGAGGTGAGTCCCAGAGCTCCAGCTAAAGACCTTAAGGTGCATGCCTAGGCTGTGTGTGTAAAAATGCTCATTAGCTTAGAGCAAGTCAGCCGAGGGCGCCATGTACATCTTTCTTTGATTCACATGCATTGACACAGTGGCCATTTTCATTCAAAGTGATGATGGCTAACCGGAACGTATCGTCCTAAAATGCTGTCGTACTACGACCGAGTGATGCTCAAGTTGAGGTTTTCATAGTATCCGTCCAGATCTAGATTGAATGACATCTTAACATCCAAGAATACCCAATGCCATAGCATGGTCAATGTTCAAACGTGTTCCAGCAAATGCTGTAGGTGGTGCTGCATTATGTCTATACTGTTCCATACTCTTGAACCATTCCCATTGATAGGCTCAAAATAGTCCCTGGAGGTTTAGGGTGTACGTCGCCAGGCAGGGCTAGGGCAGGGCTGAGCTTTGTAGCAAGTATAACTTTTAACCTGTACATGTAGTCTTGGAGTTTTGCAAAAGTGAAAATACTTCAAGATATGTCACAGAAATCTTGACCAAATGACCACCAAAGATCAGCATTGGTAAAGTCCAGCTTTGTAAAGGACTGTGGTTGTGATCTCTTGTTGTTTTCTAAAAGCTGGTGTTTTGGGCTGAAAGTAACACCAAACCAGGGACAGTTTTCGATGTGGAACAATAACTTTGCAAGTAGTTCAGAAGTATGCATGGAGCTGATGATGGGATTTCATTGTATTGTAAGGAGTTAGGATTAGCTTCTGACCTTGACTTGTGTCCACAGGCAGGGTTGTTTACTCAATCTGCCACATTGATGACTAGTTTCAACTACAGCTCCCCGTTCTTTTGTGAACGTATGCATGCCTCTGAAACTTCACGTAGAACGCTAGGTTGCCTGTGGAGGTTTAAACACTCTTTATATTTGCTGTCTTGTCTTGCGTTTAAGTGCAGTGTTTTATGGAGATTGACTTTTCACAGAGTGACGGAATCCCCCGTACCCAAGAGTGTTTTTGTCAGTCATTTTCTGAAAGATTCCAGTGAAGCTCGTGCCTCGCTCTTCAGTGATTGGACCCTATCGTTTTTGCTTTCAGTCGGTGAAGCTGATCACCTTAGCCGTGTCCCTGGGTTCCATCGAGAGTCTAATTGAGCACCCGGCCTCAATGACCCATGGCCCTTATCTCATGACCGCGGAGGACAGACGGGAAGGAGGAATCTCAGACGGACTTGTCAGAATGAGGTGAAGTTGACATGGATGATCAAGAGTTTGTGGGATAAGGTTGGGGAGGAGTTTGGGGAAAGGTTTTTGTTGGATATGAAAAAATAAAATTACCAAAATGGAAGGGGAAAGAATGGGACAGGATAAGTTCTCAAGCTGATTTTTGGTTTAATGTCATTTTGTGAGATTTATGGCAGCAGCTAGGGTCTGAGCTGGGCCCAATTTCATGGCGCTGCTTACCGCAAGCAAAAATAAGCACTTATTGAGTAGAAAATTCTGTGCTTTTGCCAAATGTTTTTCATGGGTTAACGAATAATTTTGGCTTGTGCACATGCGTACGTTCAGTAACTAAGGATTCTGTGCTTAAAGGGTTAGCGCAGAGTTTTTCTGCTTGTGTGGTTAGTGCAGAAAGGAGATCGTAAGCACGGAATTCTGCAGTAAGTAGTGCCATGAAATTGGGCCCTGTTTGGGGTAACTTCAATTTTTGGTAATAATTCAGTTTAATGCCCACCGATTTCCAAAAATATTTTTATGGCCGTGTTGATGTAGACTTGATTCTTAATTTCCCGTCTTCCAGTGTTGGCATCGAGAATGCGGATGACCTAATCCGAGATCTTGAACAAGCTTTTGCAAAAGTGTGAAGAAGATTTCGCCAAGAAACCTCATGACCTCCTCTACTAACATTTCTTTTAAGGAGTTTAATGAAATATATTTTAGTTTGGGTTTATTCTTCAATTCAGACATTAAATCTTGCTCATATGGAACCAGAATTTCCCATTTTTCTTGTCATCAACTTGTTTACAGATGGACCTCGTTTCTGTGCTTGTTAAAAACTTGTGATGAAAACTCTTTAAGCTGAACGGAACCCAAGTCTACTAACTTGACATCTTGTGAGGATTGTGTTGACAAATCTTGACTTTGTAGTACAAAGCAAATTTTAGGTTGCAAGTTGCACCCAACCACCCTGACTCAAAAAAACATACACAAGTCATGCCATCATCCTTAATATTCATCTGGAGTTTTCTTTGTTCATCTTTAAAATGCGTTTGGTTTTGCTTCTTCTTCTTGCTCCTGTTTCGTTAATATTTTAATTATGCAATTAATATTTTAATTGTATTATTAAAAATCATGAAGATGATTATTATTTTTAAAAATTTATTATTTTTTCATAAAAGTTGTGTTGCTGAAATTTCAGAGAGGAAATTAAAAAAGAAACTTTTATAAAAGTATATAACATCAATTCCAAACTCAGGGCAGCTAAATCCAGTATTGCTCAGAAATTGTATTCAATTTATTGAATTGTGTCTCGTTTTCCTACGGTTTTTCCATAGATGAATATTTCATTTTCACGTCAATTTATTATTTCATTTACGGTGAATAAATAATTGTTTTTAAAGATTGAGTGCTAAATTATGTTTGCTATTTCTTTATTTAATTTCTAGTTTCAGTGGTTGTATTCAGACTTTTGGCAACATAATTGCTTTACATGCAGTGCAGTAGTGATCGCATTAATGAATTATTGAGTTGCACTGGCGCTAAAATGATTTTAATTAAATCACAGCTCCATTTACCGTCGTGGGAAGCTTTTGAGAAACAAATACATTTTTCCCTTCTAGAAATGTCCAGTGTAAGTAGTGCGCCGTTTTGTCCAAGTCTGAACCCCCCGAAAGTAGTCGAGTCCGTGCAATCGTGGAACAGGGGCGGTGCAACGAGGCCATGCCCCCCTCCAAAACATTTTTAAAATGTGAGAGGCCATGATTTTGGAGAGAGTAGGGGTTTGGAGGAACATTTTAACTTTCACTGCCTCTCCAAACCGTACGTAACCCCCCCCCCCTTGCCTCTTCCTGACACCCCCCCCATCCATCCGTAAAAGGTCACCTGAAGATATTCCCAATTTTGGCCCCTGAATATTTTCTTCTTTAGACTCACCATTAACCTGTGAGGTCTGCTTTTCAAGCTCACTGGGCAATATCGTGATCGGGTAAACATAGATGTCTGCAAAACAGGGTATGCAAAAAATATTACTTCCCTCGCACGAACTTCTGTGGTAAAAGAAACTTAGCAGACCTTATCACAACATTGGTTTCATAAAGAAAGTACATATAGTCAGTCGTCTGTCATTATTAAGCGCGCAGATTGTCAAGCAACCAATGAGCGCGAGGGAAAAGACGAGACCCCACCTACTTGCCAAAGCTGTCCAATGAGCGCTGGAGTTCCTTATCCCTTGAAGATTTCTCGTGGGCTGAAGTGACGCCGCAACCTTCAGCGTCCGTGGATTGACTCCACTCGGTGGCTAATTTGGTTTACGATCAGCCCATCGCATCAAAATGATGGATAAAATTTCAGGTTGTGTCCAAGGTTAAATAACTAGGGTTAATCAGTGCACGTTCGCTCAAAACGGACCTCAGGACTTTGAATCTCGATGTTGGAATACGCATGCATGACGTACATGTACATACGGAATTGAGGTTTCTTTAACTTTCCTGGTTTGCAAAACGGGTGTAATTGCGCGTCCGTCTATAGCTGTACTCTGTACTGAACTGATCAATAAACTTGTATTGGGAAGTGTGCATCGCACGGGTAGCGTTGTATAGAACATTTTAACTTGGAGCAACGCGACCTTTATGTAGAGGGATAAACCAGGTGACGCCCAAATTCATAAAGTGCACACGTTTAACCTTTGACATCAACGAGCCCTTGAGCTTGGCGACCTTCGTAGAAAAACCCCAAAGTTTTCATTTTATACTTTTAACTTGGCCATAATTCTTCTTCCATGTTCTAGCCAGATCCTCTTGGGTTTCCAAAGTACACCAGACCTTTGGAATTCGCCCTATCCAAACCACTTCGACAAGAATTTTCGGCGCGTTGCTCAATTAGTATGCTGTTGGTGTGTTGACCCTTGTCGACCTCCAATCGTACAACATCAGAAGTAGAACACTGAGGCGGTTAGTCCACTTTGCACTTTTCTGTTGTCTTTCAGTGAAGGTTTAGCCAAAAACGGTTTTCGTGAAATGAAAAATTTGTCATTTTGAACAAGTCAAGCTACGTGTCTACGAGACAACGACAGACTCGTGTACGTGTTCCATTTTTTTCGCTTTTCGGGAATGGACTCAATGGTCATTCACAAGACTTGCTTGATTATTATCACACTATGGAGGTAATTCGTAACACTCTGGAAATTCCTAAAATGTGGCAAACAGCAACATCTTGTTTGAAGTAGGTCTATAGTTTAGTATGACTAAAGAAATGCATTTATGACAATGAACGGGTTAAAGAAAGAGTTGGTCTACGGTAGGCTGTTGACGGAAGGCACTGCAGCGGACGCAATGATAACTTTACTGTCTTTAATTTGCGTGCAAAAGCGCATGCGCATATACCGTACGTGCCGGGGGGGGGCTTGGTGGTGTCTGTCGCTCAGCCTTTTGTTTTCCCTTCAATTCGGTATGTTCTGATTCTTCTCGGCCTCCAAAGGAAACCACTTAGCCTGTTTTAGCACCCCTGGGAAAACCAAGAAGGTCAGACAAGGTCGGGTATTCCTTGCCGACCGTGCATCCTCCTTTGACCCAACATGGCCTTTGTATCAGGCAGTATGCACGGCCATTTGGAAACGCATTTCCCGTTGAGAGATCTAGTTCAGCCCTCGAACTGCCGTGAAACGAGGAGCTGTTCAGTACTAATTCCTCTGAAGATCTTCCCTTTAAAAATTCTGAAGAAATGCTTTTAGAAATTGATTGGATCATAATCCTATTTCCTCCATTTTACAAGGATGGTTTTGATAAATGTGACTTTCACCATACGTAAACCAATTTTCTGGCCTGTAACTATAATCGCATTCCCTAAAACGAGTGAGACACGCACGCAGGTGAATCGTGACCTCATATAATTAGTTCGCTCGGCCCCCCCCGATACTGCCTATGTACACGGTTGTTATTGAAGATGTCATGCCCCTAGTGTTATATTCTTGTCAGCAAACAGTTCATGAATATAACAGGCCAACTACAGCATCCACCGTCACCTTTAACACGCCACTGAGAGGGTGCCTTGATTTCCTAGATGCAAGACAAAGACGAATGGTTGTTCTTGTGTCAAGTAGTCCTACGCGTAGGGCCTATGGTAAAATTATCCATCATTTTTACACAGTCTTTATAAATGAATCTGCAATGTGTATCCATTCTTAATGAAGCAAGGCCGTCCACATTTATGACTTAAGCGCGGTTCTCATGTTTAGGTGTTCTTTGTGTTTACTTTCACGATCCGCATGACCCGTAAATTCTCCGACATGCTCCTTCAAAGGAGCCTGGCTCGGAAGCTAGGGAACAGTCGCTGAACAAAGTTGGCCTCTCGCAGCTATAAATCGACTTGTGAAAACAAATATTGTATAGGGCTAAATAAATATTTACACAAGGTTCTAAAAATGTGAATCTGGCAAATAAAACGTATAGCCTATACCTGTTGCCAGAACAGAATTTTTACTCGATTAAAACCAACCTGAACAAAATTGAGTTCTTTACAGAAAAGGATCTTGGTCGACCATGTATCCCTCACGTTCGACACAGTCGAACCACCTTATGACAAGGTCCTCTATTGAGATTCTGTGCACATCATCATATAACATGGGTCATTGCACTATCATCCGCAAAAACCAAAGAATACGAAAACTTGGGACCTTGTACTTGTAAGTAGGATGTTGTATCCATGAGTGCTTTTAAACATGTATTATTACCAAGGGGGAAAAAGCCATTTGTGAATTAAATTTGACTAAAATCTGGTACACTGTGTTATCTGATTGCATAGAAACGTAATAATTTGAATTCCCCAGACTAAAGACACTGTTGCTATACCTCGTGATTCGGGGCAAGCTTTAGCATAGCGATCACCATCTCTGGAATGGACTGGTTCCTTTGTGCCGTTCTTATCCATTGAGAACAGTGTATTGTTGCAAGGCGTCTCTTGTGTAACTAAGCAAAAGCTTGCACCGAATTACGAGGTGTAGCAACTGTGGTTTTGGTATGGAGAATTCAAGTTGTTATGTTCATGTGAATTTAAAGAACTCAGTGTACCAGATCTTATTCAAATTTAACTCGCAAATGGCTTATTCAACTTGAATTCACTTTCGTGTGATGTTTTCCTTCTAGCACCCCTTTATAGCCTCCATGCCCTAGCAGAACATGGAAGTCATGTACCGTAAGCTTTGGAATTTTTCGTCCTATTGTCCTAAAACATCACTGAGATATTTGCGTGTGAGCTACAAGGATTCACAGTCAACGGCCAATACATAAATAATCACTGAATGCGGAAAAATGGGGAACCGTAAATCAATGAGCAACACCCATCGGGATATGTTTCCCATCAAGTCAACAACTTTAGCGCGGTCCCAGGAGAACGCCAATATTCTGGACAAATTGGCCGTTTGCGATGGCTTTTGTTTACAGCAACAGCGCTGTGAATGTCCTCGACTAGAAGGTCTCTTTTGTTCGTCGGCAAATTAGGTGTAGCGGCTGAGGTCACGTCATTGAAAAATAAACTGTTTATGAGGCAAAATGACGACTCAAGCGAAATACAAGCGACTCACGCACTGCCCGGAATTGTTCAAAAGTCGTCACGGTTTTGTTGAAGGGAGCGAGTCAAGATTTCTTTTGGAATAAAATCAAAAGCAGGAATAGTGACGTGTTCTTGCAGAATGTGAGGTGTAAAATACTTTGCAAAATAGTGGCTTCTTTATCTGACGGCTGGTTCAGAGTTTAACTGGTTGAGTTGAGACGCTGTCCCAGTTCTTTAGCATGAATGCGGAAATACAACGCAAAACTGAAAGAAACTTAAGACTTTCCATCATACTACAGCATTACAGTTTTCACAAAAAACTTATTTAGTCGTCTTTCTAATAAGAGGAAGTACTAGGACTTGATGAGTGTATAGCTGAGTGTGCAAGGATGGACACGCCAACGCGTTAGCCACTGGTTGGCCGGCAGCCAGTCTGGCTTTGCAAGTAAGATAAGAACCACTGAGCGCCGTGTCCTCGTCTAATCTCTCCTGGGAGACCGAAATTACCTGCTGAAACGAACCGCCCACCAGTCGAATCTGTTCATTTAATCTGAAAGCTACCAGGAGTCCGGGCAATTTAGTGGCGTTCTCACGTCGGAGGCCTCTTCGACCCTTAAATTTGAATCAAGTAACGAACTACAGACCACCGAAAAACAAAATCTTTAATCATCAGCAAACAGTATTCATATTTTTCCCTGCTTGATTGACAGGAAACAGTCTTAGAATAGCTACCTGTGTGACATAAAAAGCCTCCAGATATTTTACCTGTTTTTTTTCAAGACCATTGCTATTGTGTCGCATTGTGTACGCAATCTCTATATTTTCGTGCCTTATTTGTTCTCTATTTTGAGACTCAG